ATTGTGCGACACCAGCCCGCTCAGTGCTGTGCGACACCAGCCTGCTGAAAGTACTTATCTTCGCTTCTGGAGTAGTTGCTGGCTTCCGAAGGTATCACCACGTGCCCCGGGCGTGGGATGACCTGCACTTTGCCACGCCGCGCCAAATGTGTCACGAGCAATCTGTTGTCGCAGCGCACAAGGCCCGCTAGCGAGGCAAACCTGCGTATCTCGCTTGCTCAGTTCCAGCATACGCCGACGCGCGAAAACTGCAAGTGTTCTGCCCGCATGGATCAGCGCCTGCACCCCCAGCGATACGCATGTCGGCAGCTGATATTAAATCAGGTATGGAATTGCCATGAGGCCAACCCCCCCCCCCCCCCTCTACCCTAATCTGCGCAGGGTGACAGGACCGGCCAAACCCACAGGGGTAAATTTGTCATGATCTGATCAAGGCTAAAGAACGTGTACCTATCACCGATGAATGACCAAAGCGAATATGGCTATTCTTGGGCCCGAGTCATGCAGACATGGCAATATGCACGAATGCATAACATGCACACTTAAACACAACCCTGCACAACAGACAGTTCACGCGAGATGATTACTTAGGGAGAAAAACACGAATTAATGTAACACAAATATAACTTATGAAAATACAAAAGTCACAGACGGTAGAAGAAGACAGCGCACAAAAATAACCACAATATGGGGGAGAAAAGCCATCGCTGAAAGACACCTCCATATCAACGACAAGCGATGCTTTCAGCCATGCGTGAACTGTAGCGATGCCATGGCGACTAGTTCAGGCGATAACACATTACATGGACACGGGGCGCGGTACACAAACTGCGGTTTTCCGGCTGCGTACTAAAAGTACAAGGTAGTTTGAAAATGTAATCATGCCGCGTGCCCCGCACGTGATCGGGACGCTCTCCATAAGAGAGAAACCTGATGGCTAGAATCGATAGGCCGACACCATCAGCGTAGGAGATTGAGGTTCTCGACGGTGAAAGCGGCTGACCATGCCAGTATCTTCCCTCTCTCAACCCACTGTCAGTGCTGGAGAACTCAAGAGACTTAACGCAATCATGCGCTCAATACCTAACCAGTTAGAACAAAGACTGTGCGTTGAGCGTGGCTGGGGTGTGCTGTGGCCATTTTGGGCTGCTTGTGGTCATGTTACAGCCCTATAAAGGACCGTGACCGGGGACGCGTTTGCACCGCATTGGACCATGCTTGGAGCACTCCGAACCGTTTGAAGTTCGCGCAGGAACGGGTATCTTTTGACCGTGTCAGGGACACAATGACGCCGCCCTGGGCCCCACCTACATCCATCGTGAAGCAAGGAAAGAGGAAAAGGCACGGTCTACGCGCCACACGCGGGTGCGTCGCGTTGGCACGTGGGGGCGGCATGAGGCTATCGGGCTAACGTCATGGGTCACGCACACAGGTTGTCCGGTAATGCTATCAGGCCTCGCTGTTCGCCGCGTGCGAGCGGTGATCACGGCGGCAGTTCTGGGTGGCGGCGAGAGATGATGGTGTTCAGAAAGACCTCCACCCGTTGTCGCTCACGCTCGCTGCGCGGGTCTGTCACAGTGCCGGAGTGGCAGGCGGGCGCAGCGGTCGTCCGTGCTCGCTTCCAGCCGAGCAGCGGCCATCGCCGACCGGATGCGCGGGTCCATCTCGAGACAGGGACGTCATTCCGTGGCCAAGGCCAATGACGCAATCTCAAGTCCAAATCATCGTCGAGCGCCGCATTATCTACACCTGTTACAAACATACTCTAGTCGTGCTTGAAGGTACCAGAATATCGTGGTGTAGCACTCGTGCGTTGACTCGACCACAGGTAACCATAGAGACGTCTTGAGCTCAGCCACAGGAGACTATAGAAACGTCTTGAGCTCGGCCACAGGTGATTACAGAGGCGTCTTGAGCCCAGTCAGTGACAGAAAATACCCATGGTTAACCCATAACACACGCATGGTATAATAAGTGGGAGCATAGCTAAGTATAGCATAAGTCCAACAGACAGGTCCCAGATGATTATTCTAAAATATTTTCTTCAGACAATTAACCCCAAATAGTTTTTCCCGGTGCTTTTCAGGGGGGGGGGGGGGAGGGAAGGGGGACCGCAGCGCCTGGTAGCAGTCTGTTGCACGTGCTCTGAGTCCACCACTGGAGTTGGGCTGACCGTTTTCATTCTATCATTATGCCTCCGGGCATTAGTGCCAGCCAGGTCTGCGGAAACATTCTATTCATAGAGTGTGATGTCGCTTTGCGTCCAGATCGGCCGATTGGCTAACGTTGCCAGCTAACGTTTCCATGCCGGCTGGATTAAGCAATATGGATTTTTGTCACACCCAGTGCCGCTGGATCACCATAAAACGTCTTTCCTCCGACCAAGCAAACTCCTTCCCCAGATGTGTTTTCTCACTGAAATGAAAGTCATTACTATGCAAAAAAGAACTTTCCCACTTCTCGTTTTTCGTAAACAGGCAATACCTTGCAACCGAGGTTGGCATCAAATCACGTTTTACGTCTGGTCCACTGCCCAGCAAACAGGGACAAGGCCCAAAGAAATTGCGCCCAGAACCTGCATGTAAATAGTCAGCGAACGTTTCGGAGGTGCACGGGGCCTCTTAATTCGACAGAGATAGTAGACCTAGGTGTGGAACGCGCGCTCGCGCTCCCTCCTTACAATGACAGATGGTACACGCGGGGGGGGGGACATCACTCCCCCTATGTGCAGGGGACGTACAGACCAACACGCAGCCTCACGGATTGACGGACGACAGTGAGCCCGACACTGGCTCCAGCTCCATCGCTGACGGCCCTGGCTAATCACGCCAGACTGCGTCGGGCACCCTCTCTCGCTCGCCGACAGCGAGTGCACAGATCACGCATGGCGCAGATGTGACTACAGCAACTACGACCACAGTGACTGAGTAATTGTGACTAAAGTGACTTTGGTGTTTTGATATCAAGCCCCCGATGTCACACAACATGACGTCAGCTGCACCAGTCCGTGCCGAATAAAAGTTCACAATGCTACACCACATGACGTCAGCTGCACCAGTCCTTGCCGAATGAAATTCCGCGATGCCACACCACATGACGTCAGCTGCACCAGTCCGTGCCGATGAGTGTTAACATGTGTTGGACAATGCTCGAGGATGTGGGCGTAATCCGACCATATGGATCAGGGGTGGTACTGTTCTGAGTTGGGTAACAGCCATGTTTTGAATGCTATTTTGCATTCATAAGGTCAGTGGTCGATGCGCGACGTTTAATCACTTCAAAACAGGACACTCTCAGAAGATGTCAAAATGCCATGGTGTGGTGAAATGCGATGAAATGTGATGAAATGTCAACATGCCAAAATGCCATGCCAAAGATCTCTCAGAAGCGTTTACCAAAAAGGTGTTGAAAACACAAACAATGTAACGCACAATGTTTGAAACTGGAGCCAATCACACAATGTTTGCAAAAGTTTGACACTTGTAGAAACAGCTGCACACAAAATCTACGGGTTAATTAAAGAAGTCTTGAAAACGTCTAAGACGGTTTTAGTCACATCTCATCCATATTGTCAGACAGACCAACAATACGAATGCTGTTACGACAGTCTTGCACCGTCGTCGTTTTTACTTCACCCATGGACTTTTTTTATTTTTTTTTGTTTGACTGGCTAATTTTCAGTCACGTCATTCCTGTGTTGTCTTATTTCTATTTATTTCTATGCAAATGTGATTTTGCTCAATGACATACCGTAGGAAACGGAAGAGTCCCAGTGGGCTTGTCCTTTAACCAACACAGGCTCTCTGCGCGATGCGCGGAGAGGTCCCATAAGGGACCATGTGAATTAGGAAAATCCAGAAAAGCCTGTCCTTATGATTAACAGGAGACCTCTGTGACCCACATCAGGCCACGCACACGGGAGGCCAACTGGGAGCGTTACGCCGCTCGCCTGGACTACATGAAAGCCTTGGAAGTAGAGCGGATAGTATCTGACCTTGAAGCATCTCGACCTGACTGGAAACGCTTCCTTGAACAGCTCAGAATCCTCGAGCCTGCAAAGGCCTCTAAACCAATCCAGCCACAGAGGTTGAAATTTCCACATCATCAACTTGCCAAGTCTTCTGACCAGAAAAAGGCTTCTGGAAACGGGGAGATCATGACCTTCCAGGAGAAAGCATTCCTCAACCCTGCAAGAAGCCGCCGTGCTTGCACGAGGCTCATAGTACCACAACAAGACCCAGGGGCCAGGGGAGGCTCTTCGACCTGTCATCACAACGCAGAAGCAGCGACGGCAAGGCGGGCGCCCCGCGTAATCATAGTGGTTCGCAGTGTAATTTTGCGAGGTCTCACCAACGGTTCTTTTGGGCCCACTATCCCAAAGGAAGGCAGTCTTCTAAGCGCAGACTCGGACACACAACCTGGCGGGTATGAAGAGGAGGTGTCATTTCTGCTGGGAGAGTAAAGGTCACTGAAACCAGCAGCCCCTTCCCCCTAAACGTTTTCCCAGCGCCTACCCAGCCGTTTCGTGGGTGACAGGGTGCTTATGGGTCACATTCAGAACTGTTTCCCGCCGAAAGTAGGGAAGTTGCTGCTCACGATTTAACATCAATCAAACTCACGAAAATTCAGCAGACGCTCCTATATGACCCATCAGGTTCGCAGCCATCGTTCGAATGAAGGCGCACTCCTCACTACGCACCACATTCTGACACTGCTTTTTCGTGACGTCATACCTGATGAGGTGCGCCACACCGCGCCGGGACGCTGATATCACCGTGACGTCAAGATTAATGAGGAGTGCCAACCTATCCTGGGACGTTCCTTTTCATGACGTCATGTCCGATCGCAAGCGCCTCGTGACACTGAGATGCCCGTACTGTCATGACGTCATACGCGATGAAACGCACCGCGCCACGTCAAGGCACTCCGCGTCCTGACGTCATACACAATCAAGCACCCCTGGTCACGCCGGGGCGCCGGGCGTGGTGATGACGTTATACCTGACGAGATTCGCCGCGCCACGCCGGCCTCGCTCAGCTTCCGCAGGTGCTCGTAGTCGTCCATCGCTGACCTCACGTGTCCTGCGGCGGCAAACAGAGTGACCACGTCAGGCTCTGCCCAGCCACGCCCTGCTCTGCAGCCGGTAACCAAGTCTGCAGCGGCTGCCAGCCACTAGACATGCAAGATTTTCTTGCAAGAAACACGATTCATGTTGTAACCACTGGGCGTGCTGATGCTGGACCCAGAGGGCTTCCAGGGGTTTGCATGCCGGCACTTGTGAATGGGCACCATCACCGGGCCAAAATCGGTAGGGTTTGCTCCGTACCGATACTGACACCAGATCTGAAGCCATTCAACATAGCCCAACGTTCTCAGGCTTCTGTGAGTTGCTAACGCTGACAGCTCACCCATTGTTCCGGTGCTAAAAAAGCTTACTTATTGAAGGCTGCCGGCACTATGGTAGCATGGGTGAGGGGGAGAGGAAGGGGGGGGGGGGGCCGGCATTGTACGAAGGAGTGGCCCGATTTTTAAATAACTGTGCGGTTGCCTTCTACTCGCCAGTAATACCAGGCAAAAAGTGAATAGCCGCGTCCATTCCCTCCAATGACGAAATGTTCAAATATTTCGTACTGGCTGAATAGTGTCATCAAATGCGAGTGAGTAGCAGGGTCAATTCGTGGTCAATACGTCACGTATAACAGCGTTATGATGTGGCAGTGAATAGGACCCGGCCCAGACCAGGGTGCCCCCCCCCCCCCCTATCCGCGAACAGTCGCTGCGCCGTAAGCAACATGCGCCAATGTATATACGAGGCTTGGAAAGGGCCGGGCTACATTCCAGAATGGCTGGCTAAAGCCTGCCGTTTATGCTGCGTGCTCATCTTTCTCACATTTGCTGGAGTTAGAAGGGCAGCATGACTTATCTCGAGCGGGTCAGTCTAATCTAAACACATTTACTGGGACCGTTCGAAATGGGGAGTGCCTGATGTGAATAGCGAGGCTCAGTTTCCACCGACCGGCTCCGTCTCATTAGCTGCGGCGCACAGCGTATTCCCTTAAAGGGAATGTTCCACATTTGAAGATATTGAGATAAGCATCCGATATGATGGACAAAGCTTACTTGCAACTACTGGTAAGTTTTGAAGATTTAATAACAACCCTAAGAAACAAAATTTCAACGTCTGTAAAAATACGCTCCATTACGTCATCGCTTAATGGCGTCATCGAATCGTTTCGTGACGAAAGCAATACCTAGCAGCACCTGGCAGCCAGACCTAAAGAATACCTCGAAACGCTCGAAAGCTGACCCCAGCCGGCGATCCTCGTCGCGGGCGCTGCGTCGGGGGGCGGATTAGTGAACGGCTTTTTGTGGATTTCTTGTCTTTGGTACTGATCGTAAGAAAGTTTTGGTGAACCGTTTGACATACGCAATGTAGCGATCGCCAGCTTTTATGACAGATTATTAATATCAAAGCACGATATGCTGTTAAAACTGTCATGTAGCGTAATGAATCTCTTACCGAAACCTGCCAAGCACTGTTCAGGATGTCAATGCTGTATTGTCGACCTATCCTTGTCTGCAGTGCTGTAGTTCTGACATTGATATCATGTGATGTGCACAGTAGTTGCTTTTTATTAATCACCATGAATGGATTGCCAAAGTTAAAGGTGAGAAAATTGAACTGCCAAGAATGTTTTTCTTGCTTAGGGCTTTTATGCAATTGCTAGTTTAACCTGACATAATCATTGTGACATTCTCCAGCATGATAGTCCTTTAGCACTGATAAGTCAGTTGTTACCAGCATAGGTGTAGGAACGTTTCAAAAAGTGTGGGGTGCATCCTCAGCGCGTACGTCAGGAGCTTTTTCTGAAACGAAAGCCCGATGACCCGGGGGGGGGGGGGATGGAGGTTGTTATCGTTCTTTATTCAAATGTCATGGCTGCTATGCTAGATCTACCTCTAGAACTGTTTCTCATTGGTGCACAATTTTGCCTATTCGACTCATCCATGCCATCCGGCAAATAAAGTTATCCAGTTTCCGAAGTTTATTCGTACCTTTCAATATTATCTTTCCTGGGCACGCGAAATTCAACACAAGCGGGTAGGCATTTTGGGTTATTGAGGAGACACCTGCTTTCTCAGGGTAGATGCCAAAATACGACCTGGACATGGGCTGGTGATAATTTCGAATGTGAATCGATGGCTTACAGTGTGACAGATCTTTGATGCACCTCCATTCCGTTGGCTGCTTTTTAATAAATGAGGCTCGTCGCAGCAATTCAGGCGGAAACAAGTTTGGAAGCTTGAAATTGACAAAAACAATGTGACCGAAACCGTAAAACTGAAGATTATGTTTTAACAACCAAGCCACAGAATGAAGGCCCTTCTGTGATACATTCCTTATCTGGGCCCTGCTCCCGTCCGCCATCGGCGGCCACCGCCCAGGTCCGGCTGTCTCCCACATGACTGGTTGCGAACTGATTGTATGGCTGCTTTGTTGCATATTTCTGGATCAGCAGTGCTACTAATAAGCGTGTAAAACATGTTGGATACCTGCAACAACATCTTTTCCGTATTATCTTTCCTTACACCACACCAACCCGTAAAAAGCCTCCGGGAAGCTGCCCGCCTTAGGTGTGAATTGGCCCAACGGACATGTAATTGCCCGTCATTCAACGTAGACGACTTGATCCGCTTTTGTGTGTGGGTAGGGGCGTAGCCAGAGCCTTGCTAAGGGGGAGCACAGGTTGACAAAAGCCCCTTTTATGATGACCCCCCCCCCTCCAAAAAAACGGATGTAGCCTACTTGTTAACATGGGATACGATTTTCTTCCTTCCCTCGTTATTTTTACCTTGCAGCCAGAATAGAAGGCAGAACCTACCGTGAGATCAATTCTGTCTGTATTTTGAAGTCAGAAATCTGCAGAAATCAAACGTTATACGACCGCATGGAATAAATCACCGGTGCCCTTAATTTGCAAAGGTTTAGTAAACTCATTATGGACCGATATAATTCAGAAGCTTTGTCGGAATGCTTTATCTAGGTTCTACAAACATTAAGGACATCGTGAATGTCAGTTGTAGATCAATATGTTTGATCGAAATTTGAAGGTGAAAATTAGGTTGTAGATGTAATGGTCAACAATGTGTAATAGCATGGCCAGTCGATTGGGGGTATAATCTATGTAACGCGATTTTCTGACATGCGCGCTCGCAAATCTTAACAACAAAAAACCTCAACGCCAGGCATTGCAGTCTCCGTAGGCCGCTGCGCGTTCTACGGAGACTGCAATTATCCACTATTTTTAGACCGATGCTAAGAGTGGTTTGGGCCTTAACACCCGCCCGGGTGGCCGGCTGAATGCCCTTCGCTCGGGTGAGGGGTCAATTTGACCTCCCTGAGATCTCAAGAACTATGAGAGCTAGAGACACTAAATTCGCAGAGTATGTTGACATGTACGTGAACTCACTTAGATAAAAGTTTGAGGTTCCTAGGTTATGACCTTCGGGTCAAATAAGGTAAAAAAATGTCAAACTCCTGGTTGGTTCCCAAAGTGCTCGCAGAACATAGATAACTGTTTCTAAGCAAATGGTCGCATGCTCATTTAAGATAAGCGACCTTGTTTAACCTTTCCAATGTCATGTTGACCCAAATCATACAAGACTGCTATGAGTTTTGCATTTGAATAAGCGACAAAGATTACGCTAGGCAGTGTGCTCCTAACAACTAAATGCTGACCTGGGTCATTTTAGATCAATGACCTATTCTAACCTTAAGAAGTCTATGGAAGATGTAGAATGCGGTTCCTGCTGTCAATAAATTCGAAATGGGCACCGGAAACTATTCCATACAGTAATCCCCAGAGTAATAAGCCAGGTTGGTTTTAAACTTGGTGTGGCCTTCATACCTGATTTTAGGTCAATGCAATTTGCTCATTCAGTTGTTTTGTTGTCTACGAAAGCATTTCAGAGATGTATGGCTTTGCTCAACACTCCGTTATTGCATCAGATTCAACGATTCCCTACAAATTGGCTTCGCTGAAACCATTACCTGACTTTGCCCTGTCATAGATCAGTGACCTTACAAGGTGCGTCTAACCTTTTTTACCAAACGATCCGCTATTCAGTTGTTTACAGCTACGCAAAATTTGGCGTGGCTGGCCGCGCCGTTCGGAAACCATTTTGGAAAAACCTTTTGGGGTGTCAATTTGACCCCCCCCCCCACCCGAGCGCGTGTTAAAGCACCGCGAAGTGGTGCTGGAATCTCGTGGTGGAACTGGAAGAGTAAGGGAAGAATCTCTATTTTTCGCGTTTCCGTAACCAATAATCTGTCCAGAAGACAGACTGCACGGCGTCCGCCGTCTGGTGGCACTTGCAGGGGTCGACGACGTTCGGCTTTACGGAAGCTGCAACCCAGGCCATTGCTGTCTTTGCTCTCGAGATTGCGGCCAGACATTATCAAACGTTTCGATGAAATTTTGTTTACTAATCCATTCTAAAAAAAAAATGGACGATCGGCGAGCGCATCCATTTCAAACACCTGGTTCACACTCTAATATCAAATAAATGTGATTCCACACTTGCACAGCCCACGGGACTATTCAAATGCACGTTTTCTCACAATTTTGACACATAATTTTGGCTATAGCACCGCATTTCGTCTTGAGCTGCCTTCAAAACAAGGTAGTAAGGAGGGTTTATGGCAATGCAGCTCAAGAAAATCACATGTAGGACACAATTTGCCGTTCAAAATGTAAGTTTGTCGTACAATATGTGTTAAATTCTAGTAAAACATGAACTAAAATTACTGTACTATTTCACTAATTTTATAATGCATTGCTACCCCTTAAGCCCGTGCAAGGTTCTTTGCCCTGGTGCACAAGGCACCAATAGGGCAGTCTGTAAGAAATACGTCAGAAGAAGAAGAAAAAACGCCAACAGGAGAAAAAGACAGATTTGCCGTCGCGTCTTCTTTTTTTTATAACATTCGGGAGAGCGCCGTTCTTTCTTTCGGTGCCGTACTTTTTTGCAGACAGTGGCGTTCTTTTTTATGGCATTAACCTATGGCTTAGAACTTGAGAAAAATCCTCCGTTGTCAACAAGTGACACACAACCCGGAAGTGCTCACACTCATGTTCGCGACGTGCATACGCACTGAAGACTGCTCTTCAGAACTTACACCGTAAGTCCTCTTGAAAGTACGCTGGACGGTCTGCACGATGAGACCGCTTGCTACATGGTCTCATCTGAGACCAGTCTGTCACTTCAGGAAATCATTGGGAAGGATGGCCCTCTGGCGAAGGCTTTGAGACTCGCCGCTAATTTTACCAACTTCTCAGCGTGCCACCGTGACGGCGTGGAGACCATTCACAATCTTCGCAAAGCTCCCAGCATACCGCCACCAGCGGCAT